TATGAAAATTAGCGTTTGTTTCTGTAATCAACAGGTACTGTCTACTGGAAGGCTAACAGGAGCAGCTAAATTAACAAATGGAAGAAAACAGTAAGAACTTAATCGTGAGTGCTAGGACAGTGTACGTTTGAGTCTTTGAGAGCCTTATACTTGCCATAGCTCACAACTACCCAGAAATTCTTTTTATATATCAGAAAACTTTTTCAGCGGCAAAGCAGTACAGCCAGGTTATAAGCAGCCCCTGAGTAGACACAAACAGTAGAAATTTTGTCTGTAGAAACACAGGGTTGACTCACTCTGCGTGTTTTATTTATAAAAGGTTGAATATTTGTAGTTATTAAGCCATACATAAGACTTGAGTAAAGGCTAAATTCCCATTTGACACAAGCTGTTAATATCTGCTAAATGTTTTGTTGCAGCAATGCAGAGTTTTCAGAAAGTTATTTTGTTTCTTGATAAAATTAATTTAGCTTGTATTATTGAATAAAGTAAATTTATTACTTTCCTGAGTATTAAGGAGGTGGTATAAACAGTGAATTTGACTTTTTCAGGTTTGGCTTAAGAAAAGGATGTTATTCTGATGTGGAATCTGGATACTCTCTTTATTCCACTGACTTTGGCAATCAGGTAATTGGATGACTTTTTAATACAGTCATCCCTGTTATTTAAAGAGAAGAGAAATCAGAATACCTTGAATAATAGAAAATGTTTTAATTTAGATACTACTGCATCTGTACTAGAAATAGTTCCTGCAAAGCTAAGCAGGAGCATCTCTGTACTACATCTTGCAGATACAAGCAAGTTAGCTTTGTATGCAGTGAGTCTGGCTATGACAAATCTCATTAAGGCACAGGATATATTTTGCAAACACACTGTTTATAAACAAGCATTGGCTGTGGCAGAAAAACAACCATATTTGTTAGGTTTAGTGCTGAAAAGAGTTATATGGAGTCACTGCTTCAGTGCTGTTTTTTGTGCAGTGTTAAGACAGTTATCTCCCAAATAGAAACAGGCTATAGATAATAGCTTAACTGTTCATGGAAATAAGAATAAAACCACATACAATCAATTACTAAAACATAAAATACGACAAATAGGCATGTGTACATCAACACAATTCACTTATTTTGCAAAATGTGCATGTTTGTAAACTTGCATGTAATTAAAAAATAACCCATGGAACATGACACATTTTTGCTGGTTATCAGTTATTCTTTTTCAGGTGACAGTGTAGGGAACACTCCCCTCTAAAATAATATCTTGGTTTACTGAAAGAAAATGGTGATACTTCTTTTCTGACTGCAGTATTCTTTGTGCAGGTTGATACTGTTCATAATGGACTGGACCGTTGTGCAGCCTTACTGAAGAATATCTTACAAAGCGAGGCTACAGGTTGTACCTATTGAAGATTTGTTACGTTTTTATTTTTTGTAAGACTGTTTTGATTTGTTTTGTTGACTAGTTTTCTTTCAACTAATCCTAGGAAGGGAGACTATGTATAAACAAGCTGGGAAAACAACTTCCATGAAAATTACTTCCAAGCCTTTGCTAACCAAAGGAAATACTTCCAAGAAGACAGGGTTGAAAAAAAACATTACTCCTGCACATGTACGAAAAGACATTGGTAAGTGGGCTTTCTTGGGCTTGCTTTTTTCTTCAATGACGTTGAGAGACTTCTCAACTTACATCTCAAAAACAACATCATCAAGGCTTCAGGTAATTGCTGTCATTTGCTATAGGGTGATCCATGGCTGGGTCTACAAAAGGACGTAGTATTGCTCATTGCCTTTTAGAAACCTTAAAAGTTTACTGAACAGATACTAAAATTCACAAATGTTTGGTCTTCATATATAAGGCAGAAAGTTGATTGTGTTTACAAACACCAACATCATCAAGTTTAGCTGGTAGGAAGTACGGAGGAGAATGATGATACCCGTGCCTTTTTTCTTTTGGACAGTGAATCATTAGAGCGCTTAGTCTTTGGGATACACAGCTATAAACTGTCCTGGAGTTAGGTGTCCAGCAGGCTTTTCTCAAAGATCAGTTTCTGGAAGCAGGGAAGTGTTGCAATAAATAATAACTCAAATGATTTAGTGGCCAGAGCATTTGAATAGAAAGGTAGATGGAGTGCTGTAGGTTGGGTTGCTCTCGGTTGAAATATTTCAATTTTTCTTAGTGTTTCTCCCTCTTTTCACTTCATTTCTTTTGTGTAATTTCTAGTCCAGTAGACAGGAGGGTTCTGTAGACTACCTATGTAGCAGAATATCCATTTTGTGAATTGTAGAAGGTGAGTGCATAGCTGATATCTTTCCAGCACTGTAAAAATACAGAGTTTTAATTATACCAAACATAAGAAAATTATTTTGGAAAGTGCTTTGGTATGGGCTATTCCAAATTGTTTAAAAGCTAGGATGCAGCTAAGCATGATTTTTAAAATTGCCTTTTAGAACTGACCTTTTATAGGATTAAATCTCCCTGCTTCTTTCAAGGACAGCTGTCTGTCCAATTGGTTTAGGTTGCTCTAAAAGAGCAAGAAAAAAATGATGGATTAATTTGCTGGTGAGTAAAAATCTGACTGGAACCCAGCTGTAGGATCTCTTACTTTTTCAAAGGAACCTGCCAGAGTCTGGCTGACAACACAGTGGATTCATATAGATCAAGAAGATAGACAACTTCAGCTGGATTTTTTGTTCTTTCTTTCTTTCTTTCTCTACAGTGCCAATATCAGATAGAAAACTTGCCTCATCCACCACACCTTCTACTGAGAATGAACTTCCCAGTGCAGCACAGAACCAGATGGTTCAGCCAATTCATGTGCCTTGCGGTCAACACTCTCCTGTGATGCATGAGAAACTGTGCGAGCATGTGCAAACTCAGATGTCTCTGATAACTGGCCAACCACCACACAACAGTAATGAAACTCCTACTGTAACTCCTTTTCCTACCTCAAATCACGGTTAGTAGAATTATGAACGTAGAACCTGCTATTTTACTGTATAAGTTTTGCCAAAATTGCCCTGATCTATAGGTGTCATTTTCTTTTAGGATGTCAAAATGTTACAGCTTTTAATTATCGATTACCTGCTTGCACATCAGCTCTGTCCCTGCAGCATTCAGCTGATCCCTTGTCTACTCAGTCAGTAAGTAAAAGCTTGATTCTGACTAATTAATAATGTCTAATTAATAAGCATTTTAAATTAGCACTGCCTATTTATTTATACTTGTAATGAAGTGCATGGGTTTTCTTGGGTGTATGTAATAATTTTCCTTAAAGAAAAATTTTGCATATTTCAACCTATAGTGAGGAACTGAATAAATAAATAATGAGAGAAAATGTCTACATAAAACTCATTTTATGTAGATACCAAAAAATGAAAGTAGAGGCATTTCAAGTGGCTGATTGTTTCTTTGTGGTGAATTCTGTAATGGATGGCAAACATGGAAGGTGCAGGAAATAATTAGTTGCTGTTAATAATTACATTCTCAGTAATGCACATTTAGGATTATTAACCAAATTCTGATAAAAGAAATCATGTTTCATATGTAGCTTTTCCCTGTCAATAATCAAGTTGGTAATTTTTTCAGACACTGTAATATGTTAGAGCCACATTTTAAAATACTTGTGTATTTCAGGGTATAGCATAGAACTAATGGAGAGTACCAACTGCCACCTTGGGAAATGTGGTAAAGGGCTTGCACCTTGAAACTGTGAGACTGTAGACTTACCTTCCATCTGCAGGCAGTCCATGTATAGCTAGTGCTGTCCTTGACTTTCTAGTTAAGATGTTGAAAGGTAACAGTGTTGTCTTTTATTTCTTCCCTGTTCTGCTTTGATTAAAAGAATGAGTGTTCATAATGGAAAAAAAACTCCAACAAAACACTGCTGAGGCTTTGTCTTTACAGAACAGCTGTAAAAGAATTGTGCTTTAATGTTGCCAATAACATCTAAGATAAAGATAATCTAAAGTAGATTTGCATTTTAATTACTCCCTAATATACTGGGAAATTAGGCAATGAATGAGTTGTAGTTGCTTTTATAATTTGCAAATAATTGCTCAAGACTATGTTGAGTCAGAGGTAGTGTTGTTTTGTATTTGGTTTTTATTTTTATGTTTTTGAAAAAATCATGTTAATTTTTTTGTTTAATAGAAATATTCTTTTATGTAGGATGTTCCTGTAGACAGTGGCAATGAATGTGTGCCAAAGATGGGAGGACCTGTGGTTTGCCCTGTAGTTTCTGCTGCTTCTACTACTGCTGTGCAAATACAGTCTGCTACTGCTCTTCCTAGTGTGATCCCTTGTATAGCATCAGGTGCATCAAGTAACTCTACAGTGCCTACATTGATCCCATCATCTTCTGGCAGAGAGATGACCCCAAACCACAAACAACAGATGAAAGAAGCAGATTTGATAAGATGCATACAAGCTCACCTGGCCCTGTTACAGTCACATGAAGTGATGAACAGCAGGACTGAACAGAAGTGCTATTGTCATTGTCCTGCAAAACATAATGCTTCAAGTAATGAGGAGGAGGATACTTCTGAAGAACACAGCGAGGACATGGTCAACAAAGAAGATGAGTTGAATGTACTTGACATAGCCCCAGAGAGAGATGCAAGCTGTAAGACAAGTTCTGTGAATAAAGTTCTAAAATCTAGAGAAGAAAGTCCAGAAGAAACAGCCCATCAAGTTAAGACTGTAAAGTATCTCCTGGGAGAGCTCAGAGCACTGATAACAGATCAAGGTGAGGACACTTTAACTATCTAGTAGATTGATTAAGTACAAATAACACAAGCTGTGTTGAATGAGCTCTTCAGTTTTTGGAAGTGGTATGCCTCAGATACGTGACATCTTACAGTGGTTTTCCACAACAGTAATAGCTTTGTATTCACTCTGGATAAGTCTGAAATTATTTTTGGGAGTATTTTAGTATTTTCATAACATCTAGAGTAAAGATTGTTTTCATTTCATATGCACTGTTTTCCCCTGAGAAAGGGAGCAGTGTAGACAGATTGCAACAACCATCCTGCCAAGTTGGTCAGAGACATGGTGGGCTGTGATTTATCCAGAACCTAAAGGATAGTTTTCATAGTCAAGCTTAACAGTGTACATAAATAAATATAGTTAAAAAGAAGAGGCACTTTTCTTGGAAAAAAAGTTGATACTACTATATTACTTTGTAGACTGCTTCATCTCATATAAAATATTACTGTCGTATTACAGGTTTATATGTCTTTTTTTTTTTTTTTTTTCTCCCCTCACCTCTTGCAGATGATTTGGAAATGTTAAGGTTGATGAGTGAAATAGAAGACTGCATATCATTGCTCCCAGTTGTAGTGGGAAGTACAAATGTGCAAGCTGAAATAGCACTAGCTTTACAGCCTCTCAGGAGTGAAAATGCACAGCTGCGTAGGTTAGTAACTGGTCACGGATTCTGTATTCACTGCAAATGCACCTAAAGCATCTGTAACTGGTCTTCTAAATTGAATATTTTATCATTGTTATGTGTGTTGCAGCCCTTTCATTCTTGTCTGTGCAGTATTTATATATTAGAAAGTGTGTTGGTAAGGCTGTATAGTTTAAATAACTCACACATGTCAAGATTTCAGTTAATGCTGATGTTTAGTAGCATCAGTTACATCATGATTGGGCCTTTGTCTGGGTGAGATCAATGTATCATTCTCTCTGAAAACTGCAGTACCAGGATAGTTAGTCTGCTTATATTCTTTTTTTAGTGGATTCTCAATGCAAAAATGTCTCTCATTTTGGGGGAGGTCCCAAATACGTAACTGGGTAGCATTTTATTTCAGAATAGAAAGACATTTAACAGAACTTTAGAAGGGTCTTTTGTGCTGAAGAAATACAGGAATGTAAGAAAAATGCATTATTAAAACTTTATGTTTCTGAAACACTGTGACATTGAATGCTCAGTATCAACTTCTTACCAAACTGATTTAAAATGCAGCAGTTTTGAACTTACTCTGAACTTTCTAAATTTGTGCTTTTTCACTGTTCACATTTAGGAGACTAAGAGTATTAAACCAGCAACTTGGGGAACGAGAAAGAAGTGAGAAGACATCTGGTCAGAGCTGCAACTATGAATGTAAAGTACTAATAGAAGATGATGCTTGTTAGGGGCATTTTTGTTAAAGCTTCGTTTAAATAGATACATACAAAGATATATACATAAAAATAAAAAATAACAGTATGTATTGTGGCCTTTAGTGGCAACTGAATTAAGTGTTGTGGGTCTAATCAGGTGACTGCGTTTGCATCATTGTTCAGCCTCTTTAGACTCCACATAGTGAGACTCAGCTCTTCAGCTGCTGAGCAGATTCTTTCCTTTTTTATCTCTTAAAATGAAGATGACAGATAATTAAGAAGAAAGCTTTACTTTTATCCCACTGCCTCAAAAAAATCCTCCTGTCTATAAGCAAAATTTGTATTACCAAAATAATTTTAAAAGTTAGTTAAATTTAGAAATTCAAACTGCACCACACAAGACACTTAAACTTTTTACATTTTATTTTTGCTAGTAGTTTCATGGCAGTCCTTGAATATGATGCTCCAGAGTCAATTGAAAGAATCACTAAAAGGCCTTGAGTCACTACAAGCTAAAAATGAAGAACTATTTAAAATAATAGAAAGTCAGAAAGAAGAAAATAAACGTCTTGCAAAGAATGTTCAAGATAAAGAAGTAGAATTGCTTGAAAACAAACAGCAGTATGACATTCATTCTACCAAGCTTAAGATTGGTACGTGTTTTGAATTTGTTTATTCTTCATTAGTATTTTAAAACTTAAATAATTAGGAAAATTCTTCTTGGCATTTTAGAAGTGGAAGAGGCATTAGCAAATGTGAAGAGCCTTCAGTTTAAGCTAGAAGCTTCAGAGAAAGAAAATAAGATTTTGGGTATAACGTTACGTCAGCGTGATGCAGAAGTTAACAGATTGCGTGAATTAACCAGGTATTGACATCATGCTTTTTAATTCCCCTCCTTCCTTCCCCCCACACCTGGTAACATCATGTTTGGACCTGATGTGTGCAGGAAGTTAAACAGTTGTTCTGTCTCGGTTATTGTTGATACTGAGTTGGAATGGCAGAATATTTTTTAGACGACACTTGAGATTCCGTAGTAGAACTTTAGCTACATCACACGCTTCTGTGACTACTACACTGACCACCAGATGGTAGTATAATGATGTCTTATTACATGTGTATATGCATATGCTATATATGTGAGCATTTAAACATTCATTTCTTTTGATGTACAAAGCAGAAAATGAGAAGAATTAGTTGTTGTTGTGGGGGTTTTTTTTAGTTTAGATGCAGTGGGAAGAATAATTCAGAGAAACATTCTCACTGGTTTTGATAACTGTTTCTTTATGCTTTGTAACAGTTTATTGACGTTAATTTAGTTCATTTTGTAGTACTCAGAGCAGGTAAACCAAGAGCGTGGTTGGGTTGTGCTATTTTGGTTACTTCATAGGCAAATTGATTGAAGCTGCAGGAAAAAAGTAAACTTGGAATTTGGTCACATGCTGCATTTAAGCTACATTTTATGTACATTTTATAATGTCTAGAGAGGGAATTATGATTCTAATTGTAACTTTGCTGCAGTCTAATAAATCTAAACTTTTGGTGTTATATGAAAGTTTTTAAATAGTTTTGTGGGGTTTTTTGTGACTATTTTTAAATCTGATTAATTGATCTTATCTTCACAGAACCTTGCAGGGCAGTATGGCCAAGCTGTTGTCTGACCTCACAGCAGACAACATTAGACCCAAACCTGAAAAAGGTCTCTCAAAGTCCCTTTTGGAAGACTATGAAAAGCAAATGCAACCTGATCCATTTCCTGGGAGTACTTCAGTAATCACTTACCTACAAAATCTAGAAATGGATCATATTTTGACAGATACAGAACCTCAATTCTCAGATAAAACTGGAGAATTAGAAATGCAAAATCTAGCCTGTGAAAAGTTTGCTGCTGAAGGAAGTAAAATAAACAGCACATTCTCAGAAGTAGCATCAACTCCCAGAACACTACGAACCTCACTGAAGCAAGATGCAGAAACAGCCAGTGATTCTGGGACTTTACTAGATGACCAAAACAAGTTGGATGAGACTCTTTATATTGCATTGACTAGCAGTGCTGCTATAAAGCAGCAGCCAATCTCTGAAAGAACTGGTGCACAACCCCAGGGTAGAGGGTCTTGTAAGATGTTGGACTACCACCGTGAGCTTTCAAACTCTATGCAGCAGAATGGGTGTGATATCTCAAAGGATCCAGCTGTTCTGGATAAATTAAGTGCTGGGTACAGTGTGAAAAAGACTATGGAAAGCTCGTTTGAAGTTACAGGGGATAAAGTGAAGCCAGAAGGAGAAAAAGTCCAGATGAGGCCCACAGGCATTCCAAATGGAGCTGCAAAAGACTCCACAGATAAACCAGACCAACCTCAGCCTGGTACATACCCTCGCATACCAGTGCTATTTCTGAAAGAGATTTCTCAGAAGAAAGGCAGTGAAATAGCTGATTTCAGTTCCATTTCATTTGATGATATATCTGGGAAGTCTGAGTGGAGCGCATCCTCTTACTCAACGTTTACTTCTCGAGATGAAGAGGACTTTAAAAATAGCTTAGCAGCCTTGGATGCCAACATAGCTAAGTTACAAAGAACTCTGCAAAACAGTATGATGAAACAATGAGTATGAGGAAGCCAAATGGGGTGCACTTGGTTGGCTTATTTAGGTTTTTCTGAAGTGTACTAATAAGCATGGTACTGCTACAATTATTTGTATTTTTGATACGAAATGACTGGCTCCTAGCTGTTTAAATTATGGATGGCATTTGTTCTTCATTAAGCTGTGGTGCTGCTTGATGTGTATATCTTGAAATAACTAGATAAAATAACTAAATTATGACTTGGTTTTATACTCTTTCATTGCAAAATTAATTCTTAGACCTGCACACTGGTCTAAGTGTCTAGAAAAATGCCTTTTCTTAAATTATGACTTAGGTTTATATTCCTTAATTGCAAAATTAATTCTTAGAATAGCGCTTTATAGCTGTTTAAGAAACCAACAAACTGTTGGCAATACAGTTTTCTATTAAATGATAAAGTACACTTTTGTGCTTTTTCTGTGTGCTTTTTCAAAGTAATAAGAACAGCATTGGGAGAGATTTGAAGTCAGTTGTGATAAAGAGAAATTTTAATTTCATTATCATTTGATTGTTACAAAATTGGATGCATAGTTATTGTCCATGGTTATAACTGCGTGTTTCAAGAAACTAGCTCCTTGCTCTGGTTTACCATGAAGGTATGCAAACAGTGGTGTCAACATCAAAGAAACAGGTGAACGTGACTTCTTGTTCAGCTGCATTGCTTCTTAATCCAAATTGGATTTTATCAAGTGGCACAAAATTGAGTGGTTTAGGGTTGCTCAAGAATCCTCGTCAAAGGTGAATAATTTTACAGTAGTATTAATAGAGTGGGTTTAATACGAATTTATAGAAGCATGACTTAACAGTGTTTGATGGCAAGGTTCACTCTGTTGCTTACTACATGGATGAAACATACAAGGAAAATGGCGGTAAAATCAAGCTAAAATGATTATACAGAAACCAAAGGCACAAAAGGGTAAGGGAGACCCTCTCAATGAGTCTTGAGGTTTGGAGTAGATCCCCATAATTTCTAAACTCCTGATGGAGCCTAGGTGCTGCTGGGTCTAGTCGTAGTCTCAGACTTGGTCAGTGGTATGTATGTGAAGGGTTACAAGAGTACCACTTCACCACAGGTAGGATTTTTACATAGCTTTTACCTCGCAGCAATCTGTGGATCTCAACATTTACAATGTGAGTCGGTGCCTTGAACGTAAGTGTCCTGCCTTGACTAGATAGGCCTCTCAAAGTTGGTTGGTTTTTTAAAAGAGAAACGTGGGTGCAGAAGATTAAATTGAATGTCCTTAGTACTTTTTTTTTTTTTTTTTTTTTTTTTTTCTCCAAAGAGCAGTTGGAAGGTACCATACACGGGTAAGAGGTTCCACAGGTAGAGGCCAGGGTAGAGCTAGCTACAGAGTAGCTCTGCAGGAACACTGGGAGTTGCAGTTGCTAAGTCAGGACAATGCTGTTCCCCCAGAAGAATGCAGCCACAATACAGGATTTGCAGTGTATGGTAGACCTTATAAAATATATGAAGTAATCCTTTTTCTCTTATCACTGATAAAACTTAGTTTTTGGTTTTGAGCATTGTACTTCAAGAAAGAAGTTAATTAAGCAGAGAGTCCATATGAGCGCAAGGAAAGAACAATCAAAATTCTGTTCCTTTCTACGGTTCTGTTTTAGGTCATAGTTTTTACTAATGTTAAGAGAACATTATACCAGTGGATGAACATGGAACAGACTGATACTGAGAAACAGAAGCAGTAACAGGCTTCAGCTGGCACAAAGGAGACAAACTAGGCATTAGTGAAAGCTGGCAAACCAATAGAGTTAGCAAAGCATTAGAATATACAGTGTGAGGAAGTCATGGACATTCCACAGTTGTTGAGGTGTCAGACATTTGTTAGGCATAAATACAGAAAGTCTGGACAGAGCCACCCAAACTGGCTCACATAGGAATAGGAGGGGAGAGGGGAATTATTCCAGTCTGTTGTTCTCCTTGACAGGGCTTTCCAGATCTCAGTGTCAAGAATACATTTTTAGTTACAGGTGTGAGAAGGGGGTGTTATTGCTACCATTCCTTCCTCTTACACCCTTGAAGCACTTAAATGCTGGGTTTTGTGTCTCATGGTTTTCCAGAGTAAGCAACAGTATAAAGACCCGAATTGAAGACTGCTTTTTCTGTGGTGGTGCTATTTTTTTTTTTTTTTTTTTCTCCTAAAAACCACTATGTGCTTCCTGGTTCTGGGCTCTTCTTTTGTGTTTCCATGGAAGATGAGAGTCTCAAGTTTTACCACTTTGAAGAATTTATTTTTTTCCATGGTGACTTGCTTGAATGAATGCATTTTGAACTTAACGCACTGTCCATGCATTGTGCTGTGAAGTAGTTCTGTGATTATTTTAGTTACTGGTAGCTGAGCAATAAGAAGGTATGAAGACAACACATACTGCGAAAGATGCCAACTGGCACTCCTGCTTCGAAAAAGGAAAGTCAGACTAAATACTGACTTCAGTGATTTAGAATGCTTCTAAGGCTTGGCCTGGATTTCTTAGTACTCTTGCACTACTTGTGCTCAAATTCAAAATAAGGTTGATGGTAAGAAAGTGAACAGGTTTTAATTACTTAACAAGCAGTTCAGTATGGAAGAAAAACAAGAATTCATGATTTCGTTATGGGTTAAAGACAAACTATGGTAAATCCTAGTCTTTGAAACTCACAAGAAGGCTGAGAAAAGATTGGAAGGATAGTCATTAGTAGACACACTAATTCAGTTTTCTTCTTGCAGCTACGACTTACTCCATTTGAATGAGGATATTTATGCTGGCCAAAGCTAGTTGCAATCTGTGTAAAGCAGCTGTGGTGTCAAGATGTCCAGGTATGTTCTCTCATTGAGAACATTTGCACTCACTTTTATCTCAATGGGGGAAGATGTTACGCCATCTTACTTGTCTCCTATTCATCATTACAAAGTTCAAAGAGTGAGATGACTACTGGAAAATCTTTCTGGGGTAATGGGATATGAGGAGGTTTATAATGTGTATCCTCCTCTTGGAGGAGAAGCAAAAAACAGGAAAAAGGAGTCTTTAATACAGTTCTATGCTAAGTAATGATAGTGTACTTTCAGTATTTACAAAGATTTACAATTGAACCTTATAAGGCCAAGTTGAGAAAAGCACAACTAGTTGGGCTGTGGAGTTCTTATTAGAGGAAGCTAGCTGCTCATACAAACAAGTGTTCAGCGGAACTTTCCAGCTTGGCCAGCAAAGCTGCTGTCAGGTTCTGTTCATCACTCTTACCAGTCTCCAAATATAAGGGCTATAGGAAATTTGCATATTCAATATAAAATTATTGTTCTATGTTCAGTAATAGCTGCTGTGAAACCTCCCCTGTTCCAAGGATTAATTTACAAGCTCAGCAGGTGTGTTCATGTAGCCTTTTCTAGGTTTTTATTTTAGCCGCAAGAGAGAAGATACAGGAGTTTCATTTTTACAAGCATATTCTGTGAAGTTGACATTGCACTTGCCAGTGATGTGGAAAGGAAAGGAACTCTTCAAACACATTTTATCAAGCCCTTAACAGTCATTTTCCTTTTGTGTACCCTTTTCCTTATGGAATAGGGAAAAGATTGGGCAATACTCCAGAATCCTGAATACCTGAGTTTAACCCATATAATTCCTTGCTCTGACTTCTCAAGCAATGATTGTAATCCAGTGTCTCATTCAAAGAATTGGGGAATGTTTATACAAAGGATTGCTGCCTTAGTACTGTGTCCAAGTTGATCAAAGACATCACAAGAAACAAGGAAGCCTTATTGCTGAAGTGAAGCCAGTGCAGCGTCTGTGTGTGTAAATAGTCTACCTGGGACATCATGTATTGTCAGATGGCAACATCATTCAGCTCTGTATGGAAGGAAGGTATGACAGCTCACAGGGCATTTCACAAAATGACAGTAATTGCTACTGGTACTTCAAGTACCTTTGGTAAGTTATTGACTTACGTCAGCATCCTTAGCAAGGGTTGAGTTGCTGGAGCCGGTCCAGAGATGGGCAAAGGAGCTGGTGAAGGACCTGAAGCACAAGTTTTATGAGGAGTAGCTGAGGGAACTGGAGTTGTTCAGTCTGGAGAAGGCTCAGGGGGGACCTTATCACCCTCTACCTGGAAGGAGGATGGAGAGAGGAGGTGGCCAGTCTCTTTTCCCAAGTACCAAGTGACAGGACAAGAGGCCTCAAGCTGCTCCAGGGGAGATTTAGATTGGATATTAGGAAAAATTTCTTCACAGGGAGGATAATCAGTCATTGGAACAGGCTGCCCAGGGCTGTGGTGGAGTCACCATCCCTGAAAGTGTTCAAAAACCATGTAGATGAGGCCCTTAGTGTCATGGTTTAGTGGTGGCTTGGTAGTCCTGGGATAGTGGTTGGACTTGATGATCTTAAAGGTCTTTTCCAACTAAATGATTCTATGATCCTATGCAGTTTGAAGTTCAAACACCAAACTGCCTGGGACATCATGTATTGTCAGATGGCAACATCATTCAGCTCTGTATGGAAGGAAGGTATGACAGCTCACAGGGCATTTCACAAAATGACAGTAATTGCTACTGGTACTTCAAGTACCTTTGGTAAGTTATTGACTTACGTCAGCATCCTTAGCAAGGGTTGAGTTGCTGGAGCCGGTCCAGAGATGGGCAAAGGAGCTGGTGAAGGACCTGAAGCACAAGTTTTATGAGGAGTAGCTGAGGGAACTGGAGTTGTTCAGTCTGGAGAAGGCTCAGGGGGGACCTTATCACCCTCTACCTGGAAGGAGGATGGAGAGAGGAGGTGGCCAGTCTCTTTTCCCAAGTACCAAGTGACAGGACAAGAGGCCTCAAGCTGCTCCAGGGGAGATTTAGATTGGATATTAGGAAAAATTTCTTCACAGGGAGGATAATCAGTCATTGGAACAGGCTGCCCAGGGCTGTGGTGGAGTCACCATCCCTGAAAGTGTTCAAAAACCATGTAGATGAGGCCCTTAGTGTCATGGTTTAGTGGTGGCTTGGTAGTCCTGGGA